TCTGTGCATTAATTTTGTATCCTGCAACTTTACCCAATTCATTGATTAGCTCAAATATTTTCTGGTGGCATTTTTAGGATTCTCTATGTATAGTATCATGTCATCTGCAAACAGTGACAGTTTTACTTCTTTTTTTCCAATTTGTATTCCTTTTATTTCTTTATCTTCTCTGATTGCCATGGCTAGGACTCCAAAACTATGTTGAATAATAGTGGTGAGAGTAGACATCCTTGTTTTGTTCCTGATCTTAGAGGAAATGCTTTCAGTTTTTCACCATTGAGAATGATGTTTGCTGTGGGTTTGTCATATATGGCCTTTATTATGTTGAGGTAGGTTCCCTCTATGCCCACTTTCTGGAGAGTTTTTATCATAAATGGGTGTTGAATTTTGTCAAAAGCTTTTTCTGCATCTATTGAGATGGTCATATGGTTTTTATTCTTCAGTTTGTTAATATGGTGTATCACATTGATTGATTTGCGTATATTGAAGAATCCTTGCATCCTGGAATAAATCCCACTTGATCATGGTGTATGATCCTTTTAATGTGTTGTTGGATTCTGTTTGCTAGTATTTTGTTGAGAATTTTTGCATCTATGTTCATCAGTGATATTGGTCTGTAATTTTCTTCTTTAGTAGTATCTTTATTTGGTTTTGGTATCAGGGTGATGGTGGGCTCATAGAATGAGTTTGGGAGTTTTCCTTCCTCTGCAATTTTTTGGAAGAGTTTGAGAAGGATGGGTGTTAGCTCTTCTTAAATGTTTGATAGAATCCACCTGTGAAGCCATCTGGTCCTGGACTTTTGTTTGTTGGAAGATTTTTAATCACAGTTTCAATTTCATTTCTTGTGATTGGTCTGTTCATATTTTCTATTTCTTCCTGGTTCAGTCTTGGAAGGTTATACCTTTCTAAGAATTTGTCCGTTTCTTCCAGGTTGTCCATTTTATAGGCATTGAATTGCTTGTAGTAGTCTCTTAGGATGCTTTGTATTTCTGCGGTGTCGTAACTTCTCCTTTTTCATTTCTAATTTTATGGATTTGAGTCCTCTCCCTCTTTTTCTTGATGAGTATGGCTAATGGTTTATCAATTTTGTTTATCTTCTCAAAGAACCAGCTTTTAGTTTTATTGATCTTTGCTATTGTTTTCTTTGTTTCTATTTCATTATTTCTGCTCTGATCTTTATGATTTCTTTCCTTCCGCTAACTTTGGGTTTTGTTTTTTCTTCTTTCTCTAATTGCTTTAGGTGTAAAGTTAGGTCGTTTATTTGAGATGTTTCTTGTTTCTTGAGGTAGGATTGTATAGCTATAAACTTCCCTCTTAGAACTGCTTTTGCTGCATCCCGTAGGTTTTGGATCGTCATGTTTTCATTGTCATTTGTTTCTAGGTATTTTTTGATTTCCTTTTTGATTTCTTCAGTGTCTCTTGGTTATTTAGTAGTGTATTGTTTAACCTCCATGTGTTTGTATTTTTTACATATTTTTTTTTGTAATTGATATCTAGTCTCATAACGTTGTGGTCAGAAAAGATACTTGATATGATTTCAATTTTCTTAAATTTACCAAGGCTTGATTTATGACCCAAGATACGATCTATCCTGGAGAATGTTCCATGAGCACTTGAGAAGAAAGCATATTCTGTTGTTTTTGGATGGAATGTCTATAAATATCAAGTCCATCTTGTTTAATGTATCATTTCAAGCTTGTGTTTCCTTATTTATTTTCATTTTGGATGATCTGTCCAATGGTGTAAGTGGGGTGTTAACGTCCCCTACTATGATTGTGTTACTCTCGATTTCCCCTTTTATGGCTGTTAGCATTTGCCTTATGTATTGAGGTGTTCCTATGTTGGGTGCGTAAATATTTACAATTATTGTATTTTCTTCTTGGATTGATCCCTTGATCATTATGTAGTGTCCTTCTCTGTCTCTTGTAATAGTCTATTTTAAAGTCTATTTTGTCTGATACGAGAATTGCTACTCCAGCTTTCTTTTGATTTCCATTTGCATGGAATATCTTTTTCCATCCCCTCACTTTCAGTCTGTATGTGTCCCTGGGTCTGAAGTGGGTCTCTTGTAGACAGCATATATATGGGTCTTGTTTTTGTATCCATTCAGCCAGTCTATGTCTTTTGGTTGGAGCATTTAATCCATTTACATTTAAGGTAGTTATCGACATGTATGTTCCTATTACCATTTTCTTAATTGTTTTGGGTTTGTTTTTGTAGGTCTTTTACTCCTCTTGTGTTTCCTGCCTAGAGAAGTTCCTTTAGCTTTTGTCATAAGCTGGTTTGGTGGTGCTGAATTCTCTTAGCTTTTGCTTGTCTATAAAGGTTTTCATTTTCCATCAAATCTGATGAGATTCTTGCTGGACAGAGTAATCTTGGTTGTAGCTTTTTCCCTTTCATCACTTTAAGTATGTCCCGCCACTCCCTTCTGGCTTGCAGTTTCTGCTGAAAGATCAGCTGATAGCCTTATGGGGATTCCCTTGTATGTTATTTGTTGCTTTTCCCTTACTGCTTTTAATATTTTTTCTTTGTATTTAATTTTTGATAGTTTGATTAATATGTGTCTTGGCATGTTTCTCCTTGGATTTATCCTGTCTGGGACTCTCTGTGCTTCCTGGACTTGACTATTTCCTTTCCCATGTTAGGGAAGTTTTCAACTGTAATCTGTTCAAATATTTTCTCAGTCCCTTTCTTTTTCTCTTCTTCTTCTGGGACCCCTATAATTCAAATGTTGGTGCATTTAATGTTGTCCCAGAGGTCTCTGAGACTGTCTGAATTCTTTTCATTCTTTTTCCTTTATTCACTCTGCAGTAGTTATTTCCACTGTTTTATCTTCCAGGTCACTTATTTGTTCTTCTGCCTCAGTTATTCTGTGATTGATTCCTTCTAGAGAATTTTTAATTTCACTTATTGTGTTGTTCATCATTGTTTGTTTGCTCTTTAGTTCTTCTAGGTCCTTGTGAAACGTTTCTTGTATTTTCTCCATTCTGTTTCCAAGATTTTGGATCATCTTTACTATCATTACTCTGAATACTTTTTCAGGTAGACTGCCTAAGGAAATTTTTTTAATTAAATGGTTTATCCTTCCATTTTTTTTGAATCTTAAGAAGACATTTTTTTGCCATTCAAAAATATGTATGTGTGTGTGTATATATATATGTGTGTATATACACACACACAGACACACATATTTGTATCCCTCCATTCTCAGCATATTATATTGTTCTGCATCTGGGTTTCATCACCTGATGATTGTAGTATAGAGAGCTCTTCCTCGTTCTTTTCTTATAACTGTACACTTATTCCATTGTACTATAGTTTATTCCACCAGTTCCCTGTTAATGGACGTTGGAGTTGTTTGCAGTCTTTTGCTGTTAAAGATAGTCCTACAAAGACGAATGTACTGCATAGGTCTTTCTGTGTTTTTGCTGGTGTCTATGGGAGTCAGAAAAGTAAGTTTGCCGGGTCAAAAGGTGTGGTAATCCTGCTATATGTAACAAATTCTCCTTTGTAGGGATTATATAATTTTGCATTCCCACAAATGAGAGGGTCTGTTTCCTTCTCCACACTACTTTTCCCTGAGTATATTGTCAAGTTTTTGGACTCTTACTGGTGTTTCAGTGAGAAATACAGTTTTAATTTACATTTCCCTTAGTATGGGCATCTTTTCATATTCAAAGCAATTTGTTTCTCTGTGAACTGTCCATTTTTTTAGCCTACTGTTCTACATAATAGTGGGTTTTTTCCTCTTTATTTCTAATTTTAGAGGCTCTCTATATGGAAAGAAAGTAAATATAAATTGTAAAAATTTTTTATAGTCATTTGTCTTTTTGCCTTGCTTATCGTGTTTTTTGCCATTCAAAAGTTTTCATTTCTATGTAGTCTTATTTGTTACCCCTTTCCCCTTCTTGCTTGTGGATTTTTGAGTCATTTTTGGGTAATTTTTACCTGCTCCTTGGTTATAGCAGTTCACTCATCTTTTCTCTAGTAACTGTATGTACTTACTTCCTTTCTTCTTTCTCTGTCTCTCTCTCTGCCTGTCTTTCTCTCTCTCTTTTCCTTCTGTGCATTTGTTCTGGTGTATGGTACAAAATTTGGTTCCAATTTTCTTTTTCCATGTGTATATCCAGTTATGCCAACATTTCATTTAAAAGTCTATCTTTTCTCATTGATTTTAGCTGCTCTTTTTTTTGTTGTTGTTGTTGTTTAATGTACTTGTATATGTAATTGGGTCTATTTATGGATTTTCTATTCTACTCCATTGGTCTGTATTCATGAGCCATTACAACATTGTTTTAATTGTATAAGCCTTATGTTTTAATATCTAGTAAGATTAGCTTTCTTCGTTTTCGTTTTGTGTTTTTCTAGCTTTTTTTTTTCTTGTTTTTCTTCCAAATAAACTTTATAATCATCTTGTCTTACTCTGATGAGAAAAAAACCTGATGGTATTTTTATTTGGACTGCATTAAATGTATAGATTAATTTAGGGCATAACATGTATTTTTGTGATGCTGAGTCTTTTCATCCAAGAAGATGCCTTTCCTTTTGTTCAGTCCTACTTCCCTGTCTTCCAGGAATGTTTTATATAATTTTCCTCATATTGATTTTGGGTATATCTTGTAATTTTACATGTATGTATTTACTTTATTTTTTGATATTGTGTTTATTATATCTTCTCTCTAGGTTTTATTTTGATCTGTGATGATTATTGAATTTTGTATGTTAATTTTATAACCTGTTACTTTACCAAGTCATTTCATTGTTCATAGTAATTTTGCCATTGATTAGTTTGGGTTGTCTAGATGTATAATCGTATGAGATGAAAATTGAGAATTTTCTGAGCCTTTCCAAAGAATACAGAATTTTTCTAAGTTAACGATACATGGGCAGTGCAGGTGTGTTTCTGGAGATAACACTTAGCTGCTTAATGGTATATTGTAGATGTTCCAGTCTGTCATGTGCCATGATCTGTGTTAACTGTATCATTTGTTTAATAACAGGAGTTAGAAAGGCAGAAACATATGTGTAGTGTGCTACAGCATAAGATGGATGAACTTAAAGAAGGCCTCCGACAAAGAGATGAGCTTATTGAGGTATGTACATGAACTGTGGAAATACTTAATTTTGGAAAAAAATGCACTGAATTGGATGAGGGCATGTGTGTTGGGAGGGAAGGGAGTTAAAATGCCACAAACTTGTCTCTTCACATTTGGCTGTACCCTAAAATCTTACAAACGTGAAACATGAAGGCAGGCTTAAAAAATTAATACTGTGAACCCTATAAATATTTCGCCTGTTAATAGCAGAAGCTTTTATAATTGTCTTTTATTCCTAAGCACATTGTTTCCTAAAGATATCTTAGGAAATGGGCAAAAGTACCATGATTCTTTGGAATGTAGTGAATGCTATATTTGGGGACATGATTCTTGGGGAATAAGAATTTTGATCGTCAGGTAGGTGCATTTCTGAGATGGCTAAATGAAAAGAAGAAATTGTGTCAAGACGCCTGGTAGTAGACAAGAGGTGAAGGTTGCCTGGGGCTGTGACTCAGGTTCCTGGGGTGGAGGAGCTCTGAGGGCCACAGCAATATCCTAGGAGGGAAGGAGGAGTGTGGGCCTCCAAGGAATCTTTGAAAGCATGTATCATCCTTTTGTGCCTGCCAGCTTGCATGCATCTCTGTTTTTCTTTAAATGTGGTTTTCCTCTTGAGGTTGTCATTTTTTATAAATATGGGGTGAGGTTTGTTGGGAAGGGGTCATGCTCACTTTCTTGGTGAGGTTATCAAGCACGTCTAATGTTAACTTAGTGTTGATCCCGTGGTGATATCAGGAAGGCAGCTTTTTTTTTAAAAAAAAATAATCTATTTGTTTCATTTTTTAAATTATTTTTTATTTTTTGGCTGCATCAGGTCTTCACTGCGGCACACAGGCTCTTTGTTGTGGCGCGTGGGCTTCTCTCTAGTTGTGGCACGCAGGTTTTCTCTCTCTAGTGTGGCACGCGGGCTCCAGGGTGCATGGGCTCAGTAGTTGTGGCACGTGGGCTTAGTTGCCCCAGGCATGTGGGATCTTAGTATCCTGACCAGGGATCGAACCCATGTCCCCTGCATTGGAAGGCGGATTCTTTACCACTGGACCACCAGGGAAGTCCCAGAAAGGCCAGCTCTTGACAACCCCGGAGATGCCACATGCATCACAGTCAACTCAGCCCGGCCCCTCGTCCTTCAGAACCACCCCCCCTTCCTTCCCTCTTTTTCTCTTCCCCCATGGGCCTGCCTCACTTAATCTCTCCCCCTATAAATGACTTTAAAAACCATTTAATAGAAGAAAAGAAGTGACTCTTTTTGTGGATTTGTGTTACTTTTTTTGTCATTCTTGGGAATAATTGAATTGAACATAGCCTGCTGAAAGCAGATAGAATTTGTGAATTCTAAATGCAAACACAGAACCCTTTGAATATCAGATTACATGTGAAGTTAATTGCCTTAGTTTTTCCATATATGGCAAGAAGCATATTATCCAAACTCTGTATCCTGCTGGCAGTTAAAAATCACGTGAATTCTTCTCCCTTTTTGTCCTCTTTTTTATGTGTGTCAATATGCCAGCCACTTGTTATTTCTTTTTCTAATTAAAATATGTACTTTTCCCCATATGGTTTCCAAAGAATAATAAAACTAGTTTGGGAGCTGCTTCTCAAATTCAGTAACTTATGTTAGAATTGGTTAAGTGTTCTAGTTTTTAGTTTGTTGATTGCATTTAAGAGCTATTTTAATGCTTGATTTTTACAATTTGTCAGTATGGTTTCCAATTTAAAAGCCCAGGGTGCAGGGTATACAAACTTTAAAAACCTTAGTTTTAAGAGTTTTTTTGTTTTTTTTTTTTTGCGGTACGCGTGCCTCTCACTGTTGTGGCCTCTCCCATTGCGGAGCACAGGCTCCGGACGCGCAGGCTCAGCGGCCATGGCTCACAGGCCCAGCCGGTCCACAGCATGTGGGATCTTCCCGGACCGGGGCACGAACCTGTGTCCCCTGCATCGGCAGGCGGACTCTCAACCACTGCGCCACCAGGGAAGCCCTTAAGTACTTTTTATGTTTAGAATTAACATCCTTCAGATGTTAATATGCACATTTACTTATAACTGAAGAATCCTGACTTTGCCAAAATAATGTTTTTTGGTCTTTAGAATGGAGAACCACGTGGTAAAGTAGATGAGAAATGTATGAGTAGGGAAAGTGGAAGATGATAATTTACCAATAATGCATAAAAGAACCTGCTAAATATAAGAGAGTATAAATTGAGCATCAGTGCCTAGTCAGAAGAGTTAAGAATTGCTAAATGCTAGAAATCTAGTTTTTCTAAAAACTGATGTGAAATGTGTAATTTATGATGTTCTTGCTATCATAGATTCTGCTAACAGGAATTCAAAATGATTGAGCTATGTCCCTCTTGTAGTTTTTTAGTTCTTCTTAAAAAAATAGGGTTCAAAACTACTGCTTGTTGTCTGTGATAAGGATCATTTGTTCATAAGAAAATCTGAATTTCCCTCTCTAAAAGTGTAAGTTGTCCCATGTTTGGGGGAAAGGCACTTATGAGAGGAAGAGTACATGTGTGGAGCTGGGTGTACACAGAAGCCCCAGCTGGCTTGCTGCCTCATAGCTGTGGCTGGAGCAGCTGCCCCCAGTCCTCTCACTTGCTGTCATACCGACACAGCGCCAAGACGCTGGATGTCATCTTTCCTTCTAAGACACTGGATGCCATCTTTCCTGTTGATCACAGACTTTCTGCTTTTGTTAAGTTTCTTTATTGGCTTTATTTTTGTTCTGTTTTCCTCCCTCTAACCCCGTCCCCTTTTTCTTTGTGCTCTTTTATTACTTCTCTTCCCCTCTTCCTCTGCAGGAGAATCAGCGTATGCAGCAGAGAGTAGACACCATGACAAAAGAGGTGTTTGAACTCCAGGAGACACTGCTTTGGAAAGATAAAAACATTAGGGTATGAGATCAAATTGGGCTTTGGCCCAAAGCTCATTGATGAGGAATAGACCAATGTAAATTTAACGTAGAGATTCCTAAAATTCTGTCCTTTGACTATTTTTAGAGCATTTATACAGAGTGAAATATGAATAAGCAGAAGACAGAAACTTCCATGGGAAAACCTACTCCTATGCCTGGAAAGAACTCTTCTCTCCAGCTGACTCTGGGCTTGTAAAACCTACAAGTAGGAACTTTCTAAGGAAGTTGTTCTTTATTTCCCCAGGATTTTTATGCAGAAACAGCCACAGGCATTTAATTCAAACTCTGTGGGTAATTTGATATCCTTACATTGTAAGAATTTGGATAAGAAGCAAAAGGATAGGGGGTGGGGGAAAAGTTATTAGCATCCCATAAATCTTTGGTGAATAAAATAGGAAGAGATTAAAATCATTTTAATTACGGAAGTGGATAGGAATGTAAGATTTGCTGGAGCTGCCAGACTATGATGTCACCTCTAATCATATCCTTGCAACTCCCTAAAGCAGGGGCCCAGATAAGGAAAAAGTCTTCAGTGCCTTTTTGCTAAGCCCTTCAGGTAGATTCCAAGGACACTGGAGCTGAAAAAATCCCTGCCAGTTCATCCCATGTGGCCTTTTGACTGGCAGCCACGTACACCTCATGGCATATGAGCTCTCTGTTCCACAGAGGCTTAACTTGTCAGGGAAGGGCAGCGTGGAGGGAAAAGAGAGAAGGAAACCCTTGGCCTGAAGACATAGTTAGGAAGCCTCCGTTCTACCAGAGGTTAGGTGGGGTAGGGAAAAGCTGGCCAAAATCCCCGAGAGCACCTGTGGTGGACAGGCGTGGATGTGAAGCCCTCCGGATCACACCCTCCATAGTTAGGGGCATTCTGGTATCCAGGTCATTTCACACCTCCAAGGACCCTATCCTCTCAATAGACACTTGGGAAACAAAATTACTTGTTAAAGTGTGGTAGACCAAGCAGTTTTAAAGAAAGAAAGCTACCTTTTAGAGTTTCTGCTGCTAAAATACCAAGTTCCTGTAATTCTGTCTAAAGCTGGAAAAACCTTCTGAGGTATTAATTAACAACTCGGTTAAAAGTTTTGAATTGTGACTGTGAACTACTGATTCTATTTAAATTTTTTACTTGGGAAATTTAAAATGAGACGTGAAAACTGTATAGCAAAAGCAGGTAGTTTGTAAAGTTAAGTTGAAATCTGGTCACTATTTAGAATGGGCTTCTTTTAGGATTTTACATAATTTTCTTCAGCACAGATCTGCAGCTCCATGATTTCTATTTTGTATAATTATCTTAGCATATTAAACTGATTATTTTGGACCAGCCATAGAAAACCCCCAAATCTCTCAGTCCAATAGCTATTCAAAATAAAACAAAAATTATTTTCTACCCAAAAGATGTACTGATGGTTACAGTATAAATAATTTGACTTTTAAATTTTCGTGCTATTATTGAGTGAATGAGTGGGTATCTTCTTTCTGTGTAGCATATAATAACATGTTCTTTTGGCTTTTGTTGTTGTTGTTGGCACCATTTTTCCAACAGCATTTGCTTATTAGTGTCTGTGTCACATTTATTTTAATTTTTTTTATTTTTTTATACAGCAGGTTCTTATTACTCATGAATTTGATACACATCAGTGTATACATGTCAATCCCAATCGCCCAATTCATCACACCACCACCACCACCACCCTGCTTTCCCCGATTGGTGTCCATACGTTTCTTTTCTACATCTGTGTCTCAATTCTGCCCTGCAAACTGGTTCATCTGTACCATTTTTCTAGGTTCCACGTATATGTGTTAATATACTATATTTGTTTTTCTCTTTCTGACTTACTTCACTCTATATGACAGTCTCTAGATCCATCCACGTCTCTACAAATGACCCAATTTTGTTCCTTTTTATGGCTGAGTAATATTCCATTGTATATATGTACCACATCTTTATTCATTCGTCTGTTGATGGGCATTTACGTTGCTTCCGTGACCTGGCTATTGTAAATAGTGCTGCAGTGAACATTGGGGTGCATGTGTCTTTTTGAATTATGGTTTTCTCTGGGTATATGCCCAGTAGTGGGATTGCTGGATCATATGGTAATTCTATTTTTAGTTTTTTAAGGAACCTCCATACTGTTCTCCATAGTGGCTGTATCAGTTTACATTGCCACCAGCAGTGTAAGAGGCTTCCATTTTCTCCACACCCTCTCCAGCATTTATTGTTTGTAGATTTTCTGTTGATGCCCATTCTAACTGGTGTGAGGTCTCACCTCATTGTAGTTTTGATTTGCATTTCTCTAATAATTAGTGATGTTGAGCTGCTTTTCATGTGCTTCTTAGCCATCTGTATGTCTTCTTTGGAGAAATGTCTATTTAGGTCTTCTGCCCATTTTTGGATTGGGTTGTTTGTTTTTTAAATATTGAGCTTCATGAGCTGTTTATATATTTTGGAGATTAATCCTTTGTCCATTGATTCGTTAGCAAATATTTTCTACCATTCTGAGGGTTGTCTTTTTGTCTTGTTTATGGTTTCCTTTGCTGTGCAAAAGCTTTGAAGTTTCATTAGGTCCCATTTGTTTATTTTTGTTTTTATTTCCATTACTCTAGGAGGTGGATCAAAAAAGATCTTGCTGTGATTTATGTCAAAGAGTGTTCTTCCTATGTTTTCCTCTAAGAGTTTTATAGTGTCTGGTCTTACATTTAGGTCTCAAATCCATTTGGAGTTTATTTTTGTGTATGGTGTTAGGGAGTGTCCTAATTTCATTCTTTTACATGTATCTGTCCAGTTTTCCCAGCACCACTTATTGAAGAAGCTGTCTTTTCTCCACTGTATATCCTTGACTCCTTTGTCATAGATTAGTTAACCATAGGTGCGTGGGTTTATCTCTGGGCTTTCTCTCCTGTTCCATTGATCTATATTTCTGTGTTTGTGCCAGTACCATATTGTCTTGATTACTGTAGCTTATAGTATAGTCTGAAGTCAGGGAGTCTGATTCCTCCAGCTCCATTTTTTTCCCTCAAGACTGCTTTGACTATTTGACACACACTATTTTGTGTCTCCATACAAATTTTAAGATTTTTTTGTTCTAGTTCCGTAAAACATGCCATTGATAATTTGATAGGGATTGCATTAAATCTCTAGATTGCTTTGGGTAGTATAGTCATTTTCACAATATTGATTCTTCCAATCCAAGAACATGGTATATCTCTCCATCTGTTGGTATCATCTTTAATTTCTTTCATCAGTGTCTTATAGTTTTCTGCATACAGGTCTTTTGTCTCCCTAGGTAGGTTTATTCCTAGGTATTATTCTTTTTGTTGCAGTGGTAAATGGGAGTGTTTCCTTAATTTCTTTCAGATGTTTCATCATTAGTATATAGGAATGCAAGAGATTTCTGTGCATTAATTTTGTATCCTGCAACTTTACCCAATTCATTGATTAGCTCTAATAGTTTTCTGGTGGCATCTTTAGGATTCTCTATGTAGTGTTTCATATCATCTGCAAACAGTGTCAGTTTTACTTCTTCTTTTCCAATTTGTATTCCTTTTATTTCTTTATCTTCTCTGATTGCCATGGCTAGGACTTCCAAAACTATGTTGAATAATGATGGCGAGGGTGGACATCCTTGTCTTGTTCCTGATCTTAGAGGAAATGCTTTCAGTTTTTAACCATTGAGAATGATGTTTGCTGTGGGTTTGTCATATATGGCCTTTATTATGTTGAGGTAGGTTCCCTCTATGCCTACTTTCTGGAGAATTTTTATCATAAATGGGTGTTGAATTTTGTGAAAAACGTTTTCTGCGTGTATTGAGATGGTCATACGGTTTTTATTCTTCAGTTTGTTAATATGATGTATCACATTGATTGATTTGTGTATATTGAGGAATCCTTGCATCCCTGGGATAAGTCCCACTTGATCATGGTGTATGATCCTTTTAACGTGTTGTTGGATTCTGTTTGCTAGTATTTTGTTGAGGATTTTTGCATCTACATTCATCAGTGATATTGGTCTGTAATTTTCTTTTTTTGTAGTATCTTTGTCTGGTTTTGGTATCACGGTGATGGTGGCCTCATAGAATGAGTTAGGGAGTGTTCCTTCCTCTGCGATTTTTTGGAAGAGTTTGAGAGGGATGGGTGTTAGCTCTTCTCTAAATGTTTGATAGAATTCACCTGTGAAGCCATCTGGTCCTGGACTTTTGTTTGTTGGAAGATTTTTAATCACAGTTTCAATTTCATTACTTGTGATTGGTCTGTTCATATTTTCTATTTCTTCCTGGTTCAGTCTTGGAAGGTTATACCTTTCTAAGAATTTGTCCATTTCTTCCAGGTTGTCCATTTTATTGGCATAGAGTTGCTTGTAGTAGTCTCTTAGGATGCTTCATATTTCTGTGGTGTCGTAACTTCTCCGTTTTCATTTCAATTTTATGAATTTCAGTTCTCTCCCTCTTTTTCTTGATGAGTCTGGCTAATGGCTTATCAATTTTGTTTATCTTCTCAAAGAACCAGCTTTTAGTTTTATTGATCTTTGCTATTGTTTTCTTTGTTTCTATTTCATTTATTTCTGCTCTGATCTTTATGATTTCTTTCCTTCCGCTAACTTTGGGTTTTGTTTTTTCTTCTTTCTCTAATTGCTTTAGGTGTAAAGTTAGGTCGTTTATTTGAGATGTTTCTTGTTTCTTGAGGTAGGATTGTATAGCTATAAACTTCCCTCTTAGAACTGCTTTTGCTGCATCCCGTAGGTTTTGGATCGTCATGTTTTCATTGTCATTTGTCTCTAGGTATTTTTTGATTTCCTCTTTGATTTCTTCAGTGATCTCTTGGTTATTTAGTAACGTATTGTTTAGCCTCCATGTGTTTGTGTTTTTTACATTTTTTCCCTGTAATTCATTTCTAATCTCATAGCATTGTGGTCAGAAAAGATGCTTAATATGATTTCAGTTTTCTTAAATTTACTGAGGCTTGATTTGTGACCCAAGATGTGA